CATATGCAAATTAGCCGCCATCTTGGCTGGCGATTAATTTGCATATCTCGCTGATTAGCCAATGGGAAGGGTAGCAGTCGTACGGCTAATTACCATGTTTCTCTTTTATTAGATAGGATAAGAAAAGCGATGCACATATGGGTAGAGATATCTTTAAAATATCCTACCATTAAAAACAAAAACAAAGTCCTGCCATTAAACTTTGTTTTTTAAAACACTTATTTTGAAAATGTAAAAATAAGTTAAACTGTGCCTTTCGAAGATATGACTTATATGTGATTCTATTACTGCTAACACTTTCCACTTTGAAACTCGGGTTCTCACACTTAGGCCCACATTAAAAAGTTTAAAATACACACGCACACCCTTACCTTATCTTTGTGTTATCTTAAAAGAGTCCAACCTAGTAGACTTTGGCCAATATACTAAACACAATAGGGTTAAAAGGAGTATATAGTTCTATAGGTGTATGACCATAAAATGTTTAAATTTAACATCAAGCCTCATTAGGAACTATAATTTCTAGGCTTAGTAACCCTTCTATAGTTTGAACTGGGGAAATCTGTTTTAGGACTTCACTATTAGTAAGATTACCAGATTGAATGTCAAAGATATGTTCTTTAGAAGACAGGTGTCTTTACAAATCAGGGGCCATGCTGTACAATGGGCACCAAGGGCCTAGCTGCATGAGGAGGAAACAAATCCAGGTTATAGACCCAGCACAAAACAATCCGCAAGTAGACGTTTCTGTCCATGCCACCCTTCTGTCTCTGAAATTCACCTGTGCACTGTCCCATTTAAACTCCAGCTGTCCCCATTATTTCTAGCCCGTAAATCTTTATTCCATCCTTTTGTACAGTAAGCCTGGCTAAGACTGGACTAATTGAAGCATGCAGTCTGATTAGTGAACAGTTTATACCTAGTGTGTGCTACCTATCTAGTTTGAGACCCATATTGGGACCTCAGAAATTCTTCCATTTATGCTAATTTCAATATAACCAACTTAAACAGGTGCCATGTGCCAGTCACCCTAGGAACTCAGGATACAGAGATAAGCAGGGACACAGGAAAAACAGGATAACAATAAAGTTTACTTGAGAAAATTCATCAGGAACGTAATATACCCCCTGCAAGAGCCTCTGAAGGTTCTAAAAAGACTGGATGTGTGGAATCTAATGAACAGAATAAACTGATGAACAAAATAGATCCAGAGACATAGAAGCATGGAACAACTCTGGAATCTCAGAGGGAAGGCAGGGAAGGGTGGTTGGGTGGGAAGAGATCAACCAAAGAATTTGTATGGAGACCGAGCAAGATGGCGGCATAGGTAAACACCGGAGACTGCTGCCGCAAACAACCACTTCAAAAATACAACTAAAAGACGGAACGGACATCACCCAGAACCACAGGAAGGCTGGCTGAGGAGAGACTCTTCAACTAGAAGGAAAAATAACAGCACACCGAGGCTCAGAGGAGGCGCAGTGTGGAAAAAACTCAGGTGCGGAGGTGCGCGCGCAAAGCGGGCTGGTGGCTGAGAGCGCGGTTGTCGTTTTCGGTCAGGGGGGAGTCTCAGACTCTGAGCTCCAGATACGGGCGAATCGCTGGGGACTCGGACCCAAACGGGAGAAGCGGGAGTGTCTGGCATCAGTTGGAAGGCAGCTTTCCCTCCGAGGTTTGCAGCGGTTCCGGGGGTTCTGAGAAGCAGAGCCTCTGGGAACAGGACTGAGGGCACCATAACGGCTCCCTCCGCCCGCCCTGTTGAGCCCGCCCCGCCCAAGCCCTGCGCAGAGCCATTTGCCGGATCGCCGCAGGCAAAGGCTAGATTAGCGCCCCCCCAGAGGACAGAAGTTTTCCCACTGCAGCAGACACAGCTGATTCTCACAGCCAGTCGGCCTGGTGGTCAAATCCCTCTAGTATTAACTACAACAATCAAGGCTCAACGAGAACAAGACTGCGCACAAAGACCACTAGGGGGTGCACCAAGAAAGCATAAAAAATGCGGAGACAAAAAAACATGACAGAAATGGAGGATATAGAGCTAAAAATCGCAATTTTGAGGGCTTGCAAAAATGTGCTAGAAGCTGTCAATAAACTTGAGGAGAGAGTCACGAAAACTAATGAGACCCTCGATGCTATGATAAAGAACCAACTAGAAATTAAGCATACACGGACTGAAATAAAGAATATTATACAGACACCCAATAGCAGACCAGAGGAGCGCAAGAATCAAGCCAAAGATTTGAAATGCGAAGAAGCAAAAAACACCCAACCGGAAAAGCAAAATGAAAAAAGAATCCGAAAATACGAAGATAGTGTAAGGAGCCTCTGGGACAGCTTCAAGCGTACAAACATCAGAATAATTGGGGTGCCAGAAGATGAGAGACAGCAAGATATTGAAAACCTATTTGAAGAAATAATGGCAGAAAACTTCCCCCACCTGGTGAAAGAAATGGACTTACAGGTCCAAGAAGCGCAGAGAACCCCAAACAAAAGGAATCCAAAGAGGACCACACCAAGACACATCATAATTAAAATGCCAAGAGCAAAAGACAAAGAGAGAATCTTAAAAGCAGCAAGAGAAAGAGACTCAATTACCTACAAGGGAATACCCATACGACTGTCAGCTGATTTCTCAACAGAAACTTTGCAGGCCAGAAGGGAATGGCAAGAAATATTCAAAGTGCTGAATACCAAGAACCTACAACCAAGAATACTTTATCCAGCAAAGCTATCATTCAGAATTGAAGGTCAGATAAAGAGCTTCACAGATAAGGAAAAGCTAAAGGAGTTCATCACCACTAAACCAGTATTATACGAAATGCTGAAAGGTATCCTTTAAGAGGAGGAAGAAGAAAAAGGTAAAGATACAAATTGTGAACAACAAACATGCATCTATCAACAAGTGAATCTAAGAATCAAGTGAATAAATAATCTGATGTACAGAATGAACTGGTGATTATAATGAATCAGGGACATAGAAAGGGAATGGACTGACTATTCTTGGGGGGGAAAGGGAAATGGGAGATGCAGGAAGAGACTGGACAAAAATCGTGCACCTATGGATGAGGACAGAGGGTGGGGAGTGAGGGCGGAGGGTGGGGCGGGAACTGGGAGGAGGGGAGTGCATTTATCATTCTTCTAAATTTAACTTTGCACAAGTAACCCGGGGTGAGGGGGGGGCGAGGGGGGGGGGGGGGGGCGAGGGGGACATCTGTACTTTTTTCAACAATAAAGATTTTTTAAAAAGACTGAATGACTATGTTGAAATTAAAAGGAAGGG